ATATGGTGGGAGAAGAAATAATAAAAAGAAGGGAGAGCAGATAAGTGAGCAAAATTTTATATTAAGTGGAGTTGGTACTGATTATATTACTCATATCCCTGATGTCTTTAAGTCATGTTTACCACAAGAAAGGTGGGGCATTTTGTAAAAGAGTTATACTCTTACACTTCGTTCCTATTATTTGTAAATAAATATAATCAATAAACACTTGGGTATATAGTCTATTGTACAAATAATGTAAATTTATCAAACTCCCAAACAAGTGACTTTTGAGAAAAATTTCTGTGTATAATAATTAGCATAATATATGTATATAAGTGGGTAAATCCTATTGAACTAATATGACTGTAAAATTATACCACAGGTAATTGACTATCATTCCTGTAATCCCATATTTGTATAAGCATTGAAACAGAGACTACACCATGATTTATTTTTAATAGTCATCCTTTTTGTCCAGAGAGTCTTTTAGTGAATTTCTGAGTATCCAAATTAATTTTAGATTGGCTATATTCAACCAATATAACTTAATAATATTCACTTTTAATTAAAAACCCAGGTCCTTCCACTATATTACATAGAAGTTAGTAGTATAAAATATGGTTGATAATAAAATCAACACTCCTTCCTAGCGCCTGAGAAGGAGTTTGCCCCCAGGATTGTTGAGGAGAGTTTCATCTACTTGGACAACCACCACCTCAGCCACAGGTCTACCCACCTTGGAGCCTGCACCAGTTCGGAGAGACCGTAGCGCCAGCATCAAACTGCATGAAGCACCTTTATTGAGGTGAGACAACGCTCCTGTTGATTTCATGTCTCTTAGAGAAGTTACTTAACCAAAAAGGATTTATAAGTTACAGGGGAGAAATATGAAAATCTGGTTAGCAGTCAGGTTTGGGAATGGAAAAGGTGTGTCATTTAAATGTAGAGTGGTATAGGGATTAGGAGCCCAGGTGGCACAGTGGTTAAGAGCTACAGCTGCTAACCAAAAGGTCAGCAGTTCAACTCCACCAGCTGCTCCTTGGAAACCCTAGGGTGCAGTTCTACTCTGTCCTATAGGGTCACTGTGAGTCAGAATTGACTGAATGGCAACAGTTTTTAGGTTTATGGATAAGGATTTAACATCATAATTAGACTTAAGTTTTGTTGTGTGTCCCTAAATGTAAGTAGAGAGAGTGATTTGATCTTGGATAAGGAACACTGAGTCCAGAATAAAGGCATGCTAGATTTTTACCTAGGTTACAGGACAGAGCCCCACACTGAGAACTTTAAATTACAGGCATCCAACCTGATACTAACGATTGACTTAGATTCCCCCAGCCCGCTAGGGAAGCTGCCCTAGCATTATCCCAAAGGCAAAAGTGCAGATCAAAAAGTAGATTATCTTTCTAAAGTCGCCTAGACATGTTCAAACAATTGGTAATTTAACTTTATTTAGTATGTAAATTCCAATGTTACAAAGTGAATTGAAAGCCAGAATTACCAAAACTAAAGAACAGATAATGTTTAGATATAGAAAGAATTTTGAAGAAAACATTTAATGAAAGAAATACTTTTAGTAGAGAGCTCTTGTGTGTGGTATTATTCTATTTAGAAAAAAA